AATCAGAAGCTATTTTTGTTTTGAAAAAAACTGCAGCTTTATGTTTCAAAAAATGGCAATGGCCTTGTATAGTGTGAGGATCAGGAAAACTTAAATTAATGGGAAGGCTTTGGGTTTAAACAACTTTTATTTATAAAATCAATAACCAAAAGACACACATGTGCCCTTGCATAGCAATAACCACATGTAATCAGAGTGCTCATTAAAGATTTTACCAAAGTAATCTTCTTTTTTTCAACCACTTCAATACTCTGAGGTCCATAAACTAGGAAGTCTGAGAAAATCTAGTATTTGTTCCTCCATCTGTCTATAATTTAGATAGAGATGATCCTCAATTTCCCAGGTACTGACCAAACTGAAGTATCTTTTTCTATAAAATGTAATGAGATAAATATAAATAAGAATCATAATCTACAGCAAACTGAATCCTTTATTATGTGAACATGCTTATGTGTGGGGAAAGAAAAGACATTGGGGGTAATTAAAAAAATATCAAATGATACTTATCCTTCTCTAGGAAGCAGATGCTTGAGGGCTATCTATAACTAGAAATAAGATTACATCACTAATTCATAGTTTTTTGAATATAACACAGTTCTGTTAAGTTTAAATACATAATAAAACAAAGGATTATTATTTCTACACTGTAAAAACACAATGGAAACAAATGTATCTCATAGAGCTAGACACAGTCTACTTTGTTATTGACGCTCATGTTTTATATATTATTGTTCTTTGAGCTGTGATATCTGCAGATGTAATAAATTTTTTTTGAGAGAGAATGAATTTTTTTTAATATTTATTTTTTAGTTTTCGGTGGACACAACATCTTTATTTTATTTTTATGTGGTGCTGAGGATTGAACCCAGCACCCCCGCACATGCCAGGCGAGTGCGCTACTGTTTGAGCCACATCCCTAGCCCCAGATGTAATAAATTTGCCTAATAAATTCTTTATGGTTTTTCTCTGCAGGAAAACTAGACTAATAGATGCACAGCATTTGGATTCTTTGCTCCCCCGCCCCCACCAGGGGGCTCACAACCTGATTAGCTGTGAAAGGGAAGCCTTGAGGAAGAAGGGCCAGGTATACAAAATTTTTTCATGGCATGGCCTTTGTGTGACTTGTGTCTATGTTCTGTCAGTTTTGCTTGGTTTCCTAATTTATTGGTTAGCATCACAACTTTTTAAAAATTGCCTTTATGGCTGAGGACTCCCCCCATCTTATTCTCCACCCTTGGCAGGAATGGAAAAAGCTCCCTTACGAAAGGTAATCCTCCCAACCAGCCCTAACAAAATAGATAAGTACTTCTAGATTTTATCATTATATTTTATAATACTGTTTCATCACATATCTGTCCACCTCTATCTATTCTTCTATACATCCATCAATTCATTTTTATTATTTTTGCATTGCAAAGGAAAATGTAAATATTAGTATACTTTCCCATAAAGATTTCATAAACATAATATTGCTTAAAATAAAGCTTCCTTTCCCAAATTTTGCTTACTATTTTCTAAGCATTTTAAAAGCATGATTCTCTGTGTCACAATTGCATAACACTRTGATGTCAGAAAACTATAATCTTATATAGTAAGGAAGGGAAAATATTTTATTTTCATATGAATAATATAAGTTTCACATGTAGCACATTCATTTGAAATCTTTGTCATCAAAATTTACACATTATTATTATAGTTCCTATTTGTTTATGATTAAAAACTCTAGCTAATACTTTTCTATTCAGTACTTCCAGGATACTATGCAATTTAATTGAGGAAGAAAGGTGAATAATTACCTTCTAAACTTATTTTAAGCAAAGAAGGCCTTCTGTAGGTAAATGTTTTCCAGCTTCATGATTTCTCAAAATCATCTCTTTACATTTTATTATAATAAACACTTTACCATATCAAGGCTGTGTTTCTACTACTTTCTGTCTTTAATTTTAGAAGCAAAAATTTATATGTCCAGGGAACATTTCTTTATGAAAATCAATCACTTTAAATACATACAAAAAGATTCCAGGAAGAAAACATGAAAAAATAAGTTTTAAAGTTCAGATTTGTTTGAATTTGGAGGAAAGCTTTCAGGTAAACGTTAATATTTGCTAAAGACAAAAGAGGCCAAAAAAAACAAAAACATGCTTGTGGAATTCCTCTATTGTCTTCAGAACATTTACTTTAATAATCTACATAATATACTTGTCCATTATCCCAAATTCATACTACGGCCCTACCCTTTCCATGCTGGATGAAATTAAAATCAATCTAATATTTAATTCTTACTTCTCGGAAGAGTTCAGTCTGGATTCAGGCAATCTGAGTCCCWTGTGAGTGATCCTAGGTACTTCCCTAATCTCCATGAGGCTCCTTTTCTTCATCTTTAGTTTAATAATCTCTATGATGGTCTTTATTGTTTAGGACTTGTTTCATCATTTAATAACCTTTTTAAAGGGGTATTAAAATGACTAATCAAAGCACAGGGAGTAATACAATTGTAGCCCTTCACAAATACCAAAAGGCCTTTGGTCTGTTTCTCTACCCTTAAGCAGGAGAACTTCTTGGCAGTAGATGAAACAAAAGAATGGGTGCAACTTAAGCTATCTCATTTAATTTTTTTCTAAACTTACTTTTCTTTTTTCATAATGCTATGGATAGCTTACTATCAAAAGCATAACTGATAAACATTCATTATAAATGAAATAGTAGGAAAGCACTAAAAAAAAAAAAAAAAACTAAAAAGCTAGTATACCACAAGGGAAAACATCCACTTTCAGATGTAACCACAAAGCAAGCTAAAGTCTAATAATAATGATAGCATTAATAATAATTAGGGGTCTGGGGTTGTGGCTCAGTGGTAGAGTGCTCAACTAGCACATGTGAGGCGCTGGGTTCAGTCCTCAGCACCACATAAAAATAAAGGTATTGTGTCCAACTACAACTAAAAAATATTTTTAAAATAGTCACTTTATCAAAAGTAGCTCCAAAAGAGTTAGGAAACTATATTTGAATAAAACCAATGAACAAAAAATTTGCACATTTGTAGAATATGTGCATTCTAGGATCAGCAAGATGGTTGCATAATAGGATGTTTAGGCAAAAACCAAACAACTACATAAAGTCAGAAAGACCAAAGACACAGTAAAGCCATCAAGAATATGCTCCCAAAACTTCTATTTTATTCATGTTCATGTTTTTAAACTCTTCAGGCAGCAGCTTAATTAATTAAAATTACCCAGAAATAGGAAAAACTAAATAGCAATGAGAGCAAAGTCCTAGGTCCAAATAAATGTGACATCAGCCCCAGCATTTTTGACATATTCATGGAAGCCAGCCTCATTCAGGGTAAAGAATCTCTTGAATATGCTAAAGTTATTCAGATAAAAAGGCAAGATTCAATTACAGATAATAACTCTTGCAATATATTTACACTTCAGCTTCTAAAAATACTGTTTTCCAAAGGCTTAACTGCTTTGTAGAGTTCAAAGTGTCACTTTATATATAGAAAATTATGTATAGAGTATGAATATCTACACAACAAAAAATATCTCCTCAAGCCCTGACCGATCTGAAGTTTCTCCCTTTTTTGGGCAGTCAAGCACATTTATCAATCAGCCTACTCTTGAGTGGATGACCATTTTCAGTTATTTTACAAAGTAGCATCTAAAATATACACAACAAACGATAGATAAATGGTCTTAAGAGTAAGGAGCAGAGGATCAAAAAAAAAAAACAGTTCAAGCACCATCAGTAATCTGTTATTTCATCTAATCCAACCACTTACCATATTGGCCTCAGTTTACTCATTTGTCAAATGATAATACCCCCTTTACAGGGTTGTTCTGAGTGAAAAAATTAGAGAATATATATTTAAGTCTTTGAAAGAGTTAAAAGGCATTATAACAGATTACATTATTAGTAAAATTTAAAAATTCAAAAAATCAACCCAACTTCCTTTTGGTACACACAATTGAAAATTCTATTATGTTCTATTTTAAAACATGTTGTATACAAAAGTATACCATACATACATACACACACACACACACACACACACACACACACAAAAGCAGTAATCATTTTTAACAGACCCTGATATGTACCACTCATCTTAAGAAATGGAACATAGTACTAATACCTAGAGGATTCCTATTCCATGTGCCTGCCTGTTCTGTCATACTTGTTTTCACTTACTTTACGTGATTCTAAATTTTGTGCCAATCACTTCCTTTCTTTTATATGGTATCACATTTATATGTGCTCTAATCTCTTTTTATCTGTCCATCCTTTTATCTTCCTTCCATCCATCCGTTCTGTTTTCTGAATTATATCTATATTTATATATATATATATATATATATATATATATATATGCTAAAATACTTGTCCTTCAATTTCTATAGTATTGTTCTCAGAGCAATTTTTGACATTATTATCTAATTTGTAACATATCTCAAGGTTAAAAGAACATATTATACCCAGGGAAAGCAGAGAAAATGAGGTACAGTAAAATTATTAATCTGCCCCATTATTTGATAATGAATGAATCTTTCTATAGTCATTCTGAAAGTAAAGCAAACCAATTACTGTCTCAGAACTTTATATCATATTCTTATATTTAGTTTTAACTTAAATGAAAACATTTCTCTAGTGCTAGGAACAAAATGAGTTAATATTTTTATATTGATTTTACATAGCTGGTATTTTTTGCTTTAATATCAAAGGGGAAAGAATATTAAAGAATACAGGTCACACTTAGAAAATATAGTAAAGCTAAAAAAAAAAATAGAATACCGGTGATGTAAAAGTCCCAAACAATATTCAAATATTTCTTAAAGGAAAATAAGAACACATTAAATAAAAAATATCAAGAGAAGTAATGTTTTTCTTTGAAGGGATGGACTGTCAGAAAATAGCCAGATTATGGAATGTTCTCATTAAAGATGGCAGCTCCTGAAATTGGTAGTTAGTCTGATACAAATCAATCCAAATATAGCATTCACCTTAGCAAGTGGTGGAAGAATCTCCTTGCATATCTGCTGATCTGGTCTCTATATTCCAAAATAGTTGTATCCAGAAGTGGTCGTGTTGGAGCATAGAAGGTTCCAAGGCTTGCCTCAAGCTGTGCTGTGGAATTCAAACATAGCAGCACTAAAACAAGTGAAACTCCTTCAATTACAACAGAATACTCGTGTTTGCAGTCAGTCAGGTTTTGCAAACTTGGATGAAATGTGAGCTTGTTGCAGGAAAGATGAAATTAAAATATGACAGCTGGTACAAAAACAAACCTGTGTATAAACTTTCACTTGAGGCAAAGCTGACAATGACTCTGAGCAACAAAAAGCTGTCAAAACTGAAGAAATCCATAATGAACCAACCTCTCACCACAAATGGGTAATTAAAACAGTGACTCATCAAAGTTACACAGTTTGAACTAGTATTTCCTGTAAAATCAACTTGCAGTGTGSTCAACATTTACTCTTTTTAGCTGAAAAGAGAAAAATAACCTTTTCACATGGGAAATTGAAGTCAGCATAGTAGAAATGGTTTCTAAAACAATACAAATAAAAACAACAATACAAATAAAAACAGTGAGACCACCTCTCTACAGCAATTTTAACAGGGCTGTGAAAGTCCCTATATTTTCCTAAATCCTGCCCTAAGCAACAAGATTCTTGGTTTTGTTCACATATGAAAGCTAACACCCTGGGAGGAGAAAGGAGGACTGAAAAAGCAAGTTTTGATAAACAAGGAGGACTAGAGATTAGGGGGAAAATACACATTTTGATAAACAAGGGGGATAGAAAATAGGGGAAAAATGCAAAAAATGTCTGGTCTTCTATCAAGACATGCCTATGGTCTTCTATCAAGACATGCTTCAGCCCAGAAATACCTGAAAGTTAAGTAATTACCATAATGGTGAGAGTATGTGTATGTATGAGAACACTACAGTTCACAGTTAGACTCCTCTGATTTTTTTATGCTGCCAGTACTGGGTTGAATAAACAATTCATTATTTAGCAAAACTCTTTAGTTGTAGGCACATTTGTGTTTGAAAGTATTAAATTCCTCATAAGAGTAATTGCTATGGACTTGGCTAAGCTGTTAGTAATTTCTTTTTTTAATCATAAATCTAGACAGTAAAGTAAGATGAACTTTAGAGGTATTTTCTTTCAAAGCAGCAGTCAATTTAGATTAAAATTGAATATAGCAATGCTATTGTGAAAACAAGCCAGATTCTCTTGCCATTGCTTGTTTTCTTGACAGCATGTTTCGTACATCTGAAATGTTCGAACCTACATGGAATACTCGTAACTCCCAGCACAGTTATAGATTCATTAGATATCCCAGCTTGATGTTTAAGGCAGAAATGAAGATCTCAAAGATAACCACAACACGGCTACAAATAAAAGAGCTCACTGGGTTCCACTAATAAAAGGAAAACAAATTACCATGTCAAATTTGTTAGCTTCAGATAGAATAAATCTCAACAGAGAAGAACTCTGAATGTTTTAGAAATGTGTTTTGCAGTTACTTGGGGGGAAATGCACATATCTACTTAAAATGTACATATTCTGATAACCCAGCATCATGCAAGCATTTTATTTTAATAGGCTACTATCATAAAAGCTTTTTATTTCCCTCTCTCCCCAATATGGTTCCTTGAAAATATCCTTTATTAGAGCAAGAATCTGATAATGCCAATTTGTRTATTCCTTAACAATATTTCTTATGACATAGTAATCTTACAACATAAATTCACTAGGTGCAGCAATTTCTCAGTGTCCTGACAGTCAATATTTTATCTTTTCTACTTTTTCTACTTTTATACTTTTCTTCTTTAAGTATAAATTTAGGGTCTCTCATATAGATTTTATGTATCATCATAGGCTTCCTTTAGGGAACCTGTTTTTGTTATTTCTTGTTATGTACCCAATTTTGAGGTCTTGAGAGTATATCAATACTAATAATTACTTGAGATAGTTCTGCAGGCAGAAATATTACAGCAATATATTATACTCTAATAAACTTGGAGTTAAACTTTCTTTTTTTATTGTTAACTAATACTCATTGAGTACCTTCTGTGGGCCAAGCATTGTAGAAGACAGTGAAAGTGTATCTGTTGTGGGGGAGCGATGCAGGGATTGCATCCAGGGCCTCGTACATGCCACACAAGCAAGCACTCTACCACTGAGCTACATCCCCAGCCTTTTTTTTTTTTTTCAAATTTTGTTTTGAGGCATGATCTGGCTAAATTGCCTAGGAGGGCCTCAAACTTACAATCCTCCTACTTCGGTATCCCCAGTAGCTGAGAGTACACGTGTGTACAATCTCACTTGGCTTGTGGAAGGAATTTTCTTAGTGTGGAAACACTGAAATCTTCATGTATGGGTTTGCACTACCTCCAAAAAGTCCATTCAAKTTTTATTAAATAAGTCATTATTATGGGATTTCTGTGAGTTTGCCCAAGACCCTGATACAGACTTCCTGAAGCAGTATGTTATTACTGATTATTCTTCTCTAAAACTCCTAAGATGAAAATTAACCACAGAACACTATCAAAATAAAACTTGCTTACTTTGGAAATGTAATAACAATGTAGTAAGAAAATCTATAAAAATGCACAGAAAATAGTAAGAAAGAAAATGTAAAGGACCTTTTGACATATCTTGTTTTTCCTAATTTCCTGTCTTATTACTTATGGTCAATTTCTTGTTGGCCATGATTTCCCACCATTAATATCAATGCTTATCACAAAGATGTAAATGAAGTTGCAAATTTTTGATGCAATTTATATTACATAAATGAATATCTCATAAAAGATTTATTATCATTATTGTAGGTGACATATCTTGTTTGTTTTTTTTTTCTTTTTAACAATAAACATCTAGTATCCCTATGGGCAAAGTTACTTATTGAGTAAAGGTAGGAAAAATCCAGCAGACAGAAAGGACAGAGGTGTCAAAAGCACAAGTTTGAAGATTGAAAACAAGAAGGAGCAATTCTGCAATACAATTCTGACACACACAAAAAGTGAGTGTTAACGACTATTGTCTGGACAGAGGACTTGGATGTGAGGAAAATAATATTGATGTCTAATATGAAGGAGTAATAAAGGCCTTTGTTTGAGGCCCTTTGTCTACAGACCAAGAGAGTACATGAAATTGCTGATCAAAGTTTGAAATCTGAGCATATTTCACACTTAGACTGAATTGTACAATGACTGCATTGTGAGTTCCAACACAAGCTATACAGAAAAGTTGTTCTTTATGTTGACAAATACCACATAGTAAGTACTACATGGGAGCAATTATCTGCTATCTAATCCTTTCAGTTTTAATAGAGAATTAACATTTTTGTCTTTCAATCTCCAATAACATCACTCAAAAATGTCTTAAAACATCTAACTCAAAAAAAGTACTTCATGTATATACAAAACCAATTTGTGAAATATATTCAGGTCTGACCTTCTCTCTCTGGAGTAAGTCTTTGTCTAAGGAGATGGTTCACGATGGCACTCATGCTGATAAAGCACTGCTGGCCCAGGGTGTCCCAGTTCATACTGCTCAGGATGTTTATTGCTTCATAGATCTCATCACAATGAATGTACTGGAAGACAATATCTACTAGGCCCAGTTGTCCCTGAGTGAGGATGCCTGCCACAAAATATATAAAACTAGGTAAATCTTTTAAAATACAGAATAACAAAAACAGACTTAACTTTCCTATAAAGGAAAAAATTTTAAAAAACATTAAATATTTCTTGCATTAAGTGCTAGTATATGGGACTAATCCCCTTCTCAACCAATATTTTCTATAAAACATCTTGGTACAACAGGAACTCATTTATCCTTTTAAAATGAAAGAAAATTTACTTTTAATTCTAGAGGACCAAGAACATAAAAAGAAAAGTTCAGGGGAAGCTGTCTGTTCTGGTCTTTTTTAATTGTCTTTTAAAAGACTGATCTCATTTGAAACTAACAAATGACAATAAATACTAGGGCTTTAAAGCATGTTTCTGTTTTGTTTTCCATCTTTTGAAAATGGCTAGCTATAAACTCTTTTTTTTCTTTAGCCGATGTTTACTGACTTTAGCAATTCTACAATAGCTTCTTAGTACAAATAATCATAAAGCTAAATGAGAAAATGTGCGTGAAATTACTTTGTAAGCTATAAAGTATTATAAAATATTATTGCAATTCTTTTTATTACTATCATCATCACTTAACTGGGCTATTTATAGGTTGTAGGATTTTTTTAAAAATTAGTTAATGAGAAAGATGCTGAAATTCTTCACACTAACTTCAAGTCCCATCAAAATAAAAATTTGTGCTATATCTAACAGGACTCAACTTGATAGGGAATCTGGGGAATTGCCCTAACTATACTAAGCAGTAAAACTTTACTATTCCTTTTGTGTTGGTACAATCAACAATATAACTATCCTAAAGTCTCCATGAGCCTGAAGTCAAGCACTGGAAGTCCTCATAAATCAAGGTGGCTACTTGGCAGTAGATATTAATGCAGAGAACTTTTGCAGGAAGCTGAAAATACCTGAGATTTGTTGATTCTATCCCTAAGCAACACTTCTATGAGTAGCAAGAGAAAGAACTGATCTGTTGGGGGTGGGGAGAGCTAACATAATTGTGATCAAATAGTTCAAAGACAACAAAATTTTTTTTTAAAATGAGGGAAAAAGATGCATAGGATGTACAGAGAAACAAAAAATGATTCCAGACTTTGCATGTAAAATTATGCAAGCTAGAAAATAACAGGAAGACATTTTTAAAGTACTGAGAATTAAAAAATAAATTAACCTAGAATTCTTATCCTTATAATAAAGGGCTCAAAATTATGAAGAAACATAACAATTCTTAAGTACACCTAATAACTGAGCTCTGAAATAATAAAGTAAAACATGACAGAACTAAAAAGAAAAAATTAAAATATGTAATTATGATTAGATATTTCAGTACTGCTTTTATAAATCAAGAGATCATGTAAACAGAAATTCAAGAAAAATAAAAAATACTTGAAAAACACTATCAATGAATTTCATCTGACATTCATAAAAAACACTTTACCCAACAATGAAATACACATTCTTTTTGAGGGCCCACTGAATATTAACCAAGCTGAGCATATTCTAAATAATAAAAGAAACTTTAACACATTTCAAAGTTTTGAAATCATGAACAGGTTATGTTCTCTAACCATAAGAGAAATAAATTAGATATCTATAACAGAAAGCTATCTGGAAAATTCCCAAATATTTGAATAACCTATGGGTCAAAAAATCACAAATTATATTAGACATTATGTTGAATTGAATTAAATAGAAATATAACATAAAAAACTTTGTGAAATATAGCTATGGTTTTTAAAGGAAAATTTCTAAGTGTTTCAGTTAGAAAAGAAGAAAGATCTAAGCTCAATAATCCAAGTGTCCACATTAAGAACCTAGGGAAAAAAGAACAAATTAAATCCAATGTAAATAGAAAGAAGAAAATAATAAAGCTAATACATAGAAAATAATGAAGAACAGTAAAAATCAAATAAACTTGAAAGCTTTCTCTTTGAAAAAAATCAGTAAACTGAGAAAAAGAGATGATACAATTATCAATAACAAAAATAAGAGCTATAACTACAGGCATTTAAAAATAGATAAAGAGTATGAGTAAATTTATGTAAATATAGCTTAAATTAAATGGATTCCTTGAAAGACCCAAAATGTCAAACTTCACTCAAGAACAAACAGGGGCTAGGATTGTAGCTCAGAGACCTTGGTGTTTGATCTCTAGCACCTTTTCTTCCAAAAAGAAAGAATAGATGACTTGAATGGTTTTATATTATTTAAATTTCAATTCATTGGTTTTTTTTTTTTAAAAAAAAAACTTTACCCACCCACCCCCTCACACACACACACACCTTTAACTCTGCATATGTCCAGATGCCTTTATTGATGAATTCTATCAAACATTAAAAGAAAATATGTACTCTGCATAATCCAAAATACAAAAGAAACAAATACTCTTCAATTTATGAGATTATCACTATACCAGCTCTAAAAACAACAGACATTAAAAGAAAAGAAAATAATACTTCAATATCCTCACAAATAAGCGTAAGATTCCTTAGCAAAATATTAGCAAATCCAAAAATATATTAAAAATATGTCATAAACATTTATTCCACAAATGTAAGATCACTTAAGCATCTTAAAACCAATCAATATATTCACCACATGACCATATTAAAAAGAAAAAAACATACTTATTTTAATACAGAAAAAGCACTTGAAAAAGTTTCAAAATTCACTGAAGATAATACATCATAGAAGCCTATAAATGGAAGAGGAATTCCTCAACCAAGTAATATCATAGGTAGAATGAAAGACTGAATGTTTTCCATCTAAGACAGGAAACAAAGCAAGGATGTCATCTCTTAGTACTTCTATTTAATACTGTACTTGAYGTCATAGCTAGTGTAAAAAGTGAGTAAAATGAAATAAAAGCATACAGATTAGATAAAATGTAAATAGATTTTTAATCCAGTTGTCATGATCATTTATGAAGAAAATCCTAAGGAATCTACACAAAAGTTATAGCAACTAAGAATGAGTTTAACTGGGTTCCAGAACACATGGTCAATATTTTAAAAATTGATTTCTACATAATCCCAGCAAAATGATTAAAAACTGCAATTAAAAATACTATTACAACATCTTTCAAAAACATGAAATACTTAAAGATAAATTTAACATAGTATGTACAAGATCTTTATGTTTAAAACTATAAAACATTGCAGAAAAAATTAATGAATACCTAAATAAATGGAAAGAAACTAAATATTATTAATTTGTATTCCTACTCAAATTGATATATAGATTCAACACAAAGTAAATCAACATCCTAGTAGGTCTTCTTGTAGAAACTGCTAAGCCAGTTTTAAAATTTATATAGAGATGCAAAGGATCTAGAGTAGCTAAAACAATATGAAAAAGAACAACAAAATGAGAGAACTAACAGTACCTGATTTCAAGATTTCCTGTAAAATCACAGTAAGTAAGACACTACGCTTAAGTATAGATACGCAGCTCAGAGGAAGAGAACAGACTCATCATAAACATACACACGCATATGGTCAAGGTAATTCAACGTGAGAAAAAAAATACTCTTTCCAGCAAACGGCGCTGGAACAGCTGAGTATTCATAATAAAGAATTAACCTCAACCCATAACTTTATCATATGCAAAATATTTACTTGAWATAGACCAGAAACCTAAATCTAAGAGCTAAAACCATAACACTTCTAAAACAAAACAAAACAAAATCTTTGTGAACTTGGGATAGTATTCTTAGATAGGACATGAAGAGCAGAAGCCATAAAATAAGGAAGTTTACAAATTGAACTTCATTAAAGTTAAAAACTTCTACAACTCAAACCATACTGTTAAGAAAATGAAAAGTAAACTATAAACTAGAAGAAAATATTCATAAGTGTCTTACAAAAGCCTTTTATTCAGAATATGTATTAGAACTCTAATAAATCATTAAGTAAACATCTAATTAAATTTGGGCAAAAGATTTGAGGTTATACTTCCATCAGAGAAAATATACAGCAATAAATATATGAAAAGATGTTCAACTCCAATAGTCATCAACTACCTCACACTCACTAGAGTGACGAAAATTTAAAAGGCCATTAATGTCAAGTGTTAGTGACTATGTGGAGCAACCAGCGTGTCCATAAATTGCTGATGGACATGTTTTAGTAAGCTTTTTCGCCCCTGTTATAAAAGATCTGCCCAGAACAATTGTAGAGGAGGAAATGTTTATTTGAGGGCTCATGGTTTCAGAGGTCTTAGTGCATAGAAGGCSAACTCCATTCCTCAAGGCTTCAGGTGAGGTGCAACATCATGGCAGAAGAATGTGGCAGAGGCAAGAGGCCACATAATGATCAGACAGCAGAGACTCCACTGGCCAAATACAAATATATACCCCACAGCCACACCCCAATTCCCACCTCCTCTAGCCACACCTTACACTTCAATTACCACTCAGTTAATCCCTACCAGGGGATTAATTCACTGATTAGGTTAAGGCTATAAACCCAAATGATTATTTCTCCTCTAAACCTTCTTGCATTGAATCACACATGAGCTTTGGGGGGACAGCTCATATGCAAACCATAACAACATATTAATGGTATAATCACTTTATAAAAAGGTCATTTCTTTTAAAGTAGCATATGACCTAAATATTGTATACTTCTAGGTTTTCCCCAAGAAAAATGGAAATGTGTCCATACAAATATTTGTACATGAAAGTACATATAATTTTTAGTCCTTTAAGATTACACCTGTGTCAATCAGTATTTGACAGGATAGAAAAGTTATGGTATATCTGCATCATGGAAGACTACTCAGTAAGATAAGAAAAACTTATAAGATACACATAATAATATGGAAGACTCTCACAGATTAATGCTGAGTGATAATATAAAAAATGCAAAGTAAGATCTACTGTATGATCCTATTTCTATGAAATTCTATAAAAAAAATCTAGTTCATATTGACAAAAAGTACTGTTTGTCAGATTTGAGAGAGATGGAGATTAATGACAAAGGGCCTTCGGAGAATTTTTTGGGATGACGGAAATGTTCAGTACCTTGATTATGGTGGTAATCATGGCATTGCATACATTTAAACTTATTAAACTATACAAATAAGTTTTTATTTATTAGATTATACCTCAATAAACTTGATTTTTAAACATTCATCATCAAAGTAGAATTCTATTGGTAATAAAAGTTTATTTCAAAAAATATAAGATTCAATTTTAAGACTGGTATTTAATAAAGTACCCAACATTTCTTTCTAGCAATAAACTAATGTMAATTGTCTCTTGGGTAAAGTATAACTTTGAAATATCTAATTAAAAATAACTTTTGAAGAAAATACACTTATAAAGTTTCTAAGAGAAAAATCATACTCCTTTCCATTTAGGGAGTATGACAGACATAAACACACATATACTCACATACTACCTGTGATTTTCAAAATTGTATAAAAAGAAAGATGTTAACTTCAATTATACTTCATTGAATATTATCACTTGAACAAGTAACCTTTTCTCAACTTTGCAGGCTGCATGAGGACACTGTAGGGTCACTCCACACAGATGGAATACTATTGCCACCACAATGGAAGGGGTGAGTAGGCTTGGCTGGGAAGCTATAGTGCAGCAGAGCTCGGGGGATGAAACCCAAGAGGCAGATGAGGGTTGATCCATCACTGGAGTATTTCGGCTGGATCAGCCATGTCAAAAGTTGCACTGTTAGWATAATAATTTCAGTGCAGTTCAGGGAATTAACTGGAAAGTAGGAAGGGTAGGCAAAAGATGCAGACAGAGGGCCTCTACTTGATCACAATTATACAAGGGAGGTCTAGATTAAGGTAATGACAGTGAGGCTGAACAGAATGAGATGCCTTTGACAGTATTTAGAAGGCAGAATTGATAGGATTTTGTTACTAACATTAACATTGAGGGAGGTCCATTACATTAGGGGTGAGGGAAGATTTTATGATGATTTCTGACTTGGAGGTTCCATCTGAATCATTCTAACTTCCAAAATACAAGAAGATAAGCAGGTTTGGGGAGAAAGATGATAACTTCACATCTGCACACAATGAGGTTGAAATAGTATCTATTAAATAGGTAAATGTACGGATATGGAGTCAGTAGTCATCTGGGCTGGAGTTAGAGAATTAGAAGCATCTTGGACCATTTCTGCTACTATAATTGAATATTATTGACTAGATAAATTATAAACAAAAGAAGTTTATTTAGCTCACAGTACTTAAGGCTGGGAAGTTCAAGATCAAGATCAAAGGGCTGCATATGATAAGGCTTTCTTGATGTGTTATAACATTGTGGAAGGACAACTGAGCATGCACAAGACAGAGAGAAAGGGTGGGAATTGAACTGATAACAAATACACTCTGAAATAAATGAGCCTACTCCCTCAATAATGGCATTAATCCATTCACAAGGGCAGAACCTTCCTGACCTAATCACCTCTTAAAGATCTCACATCTTTATACAGTTGCAATGGCAATTAAATCTCACTATGAGTTTGGAGAGGAAATTCAAACCATAACACATAGCTAATTTAAAAATAAACTCTCAATCTGTATAAAATGAGACAAGAACTATAAATGGAACCCTGGAGAGCCCCAAAATTGTCATGAGTAGGCAGAAGAAGAGTGTAAAAGTGATGAAAAGTTGCATTCAGGGTCATAAAAGGCAAATATGATAAGAGTTCTATGACAATGGGAATGGTCAGCWACCATCAAACACTGAAAAGCCATCAAGTAACATGAGAAATGTATCCTGGAGGAAGCCACAGCCGACCTTTCCAAAAGTGGTTCCAAGAGAACACTACAGACACAAACCGCGATGCAGTGCTCTGACAAGAGAATGAGAAGAAAGGAAGCTGAGAAAGTCAGTGTTTCTTTCTTTTTAAAATATTTTTTAGTTGTAGTTGACACACCATTCATTCATTCATTCATTCATTCATTCATTTATGGAGCTGAGGATGGAACCTTGGGTGTCGCCCGTGCGAGTGAGCGCTCTATTGCTGAGTCAAAACCCCAGCCACCACCACCACCACCCCCAMCCCYGGAAAGTCAGTGTTTCAATGACTCTGGCTATGAAAGGAAAGTGAACATTTGATCAATAATGGGAAACATTTTTAAGGAAGAACTTGTTTTCATGATGTGGTTTGGGCCTGTTTATCTGCTAATGAAACACAATTCATGGGGGGTGGGAAGGGTGACAAGGTAAAGGTGTCAAAGGTAATGTTGTGGAATCCRTAGCAGAAGTAGTGGTGGAACTGGTCATGGAGTAGAGGAAGGGCTCCTTTTTCTTTGGATCTCCAGGGAAAGATTCAGGTGCCTGTAGTTAAGTGTTGGGCGGGTGGTGAGGAACAGATAAACTTAATGAAGTGCCAATTAAAAGGTGAGATTCTCTGCTGAGGGGAGACAGAGCTGATCTTGTGGGTTTAAAGAGAGCAATGAATGTCAGAAAAGGTTCTAATCGAAACGAAAAGCTTTAAGAACCTGGTAGTATAATTGGGTCCTCCTCATTTTAAAATTAATCTTAGTTTATGTATGTGGAAATATGAGATATTGACTGTCACATAAAAAAATTCTGAATACTGTACTTATTGCTTTATATAAAGAAATATTTCTTGGCTTCCCGGTAGGAGCATGACACTTCCAGCTGCTTCCTGAGGAAGACATGTATTTGGAATTCTTCTAATATCAGTGGGGATGGCCTTTTAATACCCCCAATTTTTTGTACAATCACTGTAAGAATTAAGAATGGAAACTCTACCCTTGGAACAGAGTTTCCCTTCAATATTACTCTAACTGACCTAATCTAAGAGTCAAACTCCAAAAATCTTAGCATATTGGCATCAGTGACTGCCACGTTTACATATGACAGCACTCTATTTTAAACTATGATCTATGATCTATCTTTACAATTTTAAATTGTAAGCTACACCTTTCATGTCAAATTTTCCAAAGACTTGCATAACAAGCATCTGAGATAAATCTCATAAATGCTCCCTAGTGGGGAACTGCACATGCAACTACCTGTTTACATATGCAGTAACTTGAATTATACATGAAAATTCCACATGGATGCCCAGAATCAGCACTGTGTTAATTCAAGAAGTATATTAATTTTTTGGATGTATTTAGTAGCAGATCATGAGAAAAATCTGTTCTTTAAACTGGGTTTTCTTTTAAAAAAATTGTTAGTTGAAATTGACTATTTCAAGGAATCTACTCTTCCCAGGAAAAATAATTTGATAGAAACATTAATCTTATAATACATTAAAAATAAGAAATAAAGTTTTAAAAAATCCTTAGAAATTCCATATTTAGCTCTCTTAATGATCCTGTACACTGTCCCTATCCTACAAACTTAAGAGTCATATTGAAAATAAAATTTAAATGATAAATGTCAGTTGCAGAAGTTATCACCTTTTTATTTGAATGTTTGACTTCTATTGGATAATTCTCTTCCAAGAGACCTTCTTGGGGGAAAAAGAGGTGACAGCCAACTCATTGCCTAATTGATTTAGGAACAGTGCCCAGGGAGACAGTCCAATTAAGTTTACAAGCTGGCAATTAGCAGGAAGCCCTCTAAATCCCTACACTGAGAGCCTGTTTACTTTAGTAAGAAGGCAAATGTGCTAGAGATAGGAAGAGAAAGCTGTGCTTTTTGCAAAGCTGTTGTGAGTAGGCCCACAAGGGAGGGCTGAAGAAAAGCCAGGTAGATGTGGGCAGACAGCCTTATGTTTGACAGGTAACTGAGTAATTTAAAGGGTGAGAGGGAATGAGAGAAAGAGAGAGGAGAGAAAAAGCAGGCAAAAGACAGAGAGAAGGAGGAAGAGACAAAGAGAAAGAGAGTGTGTGTTTTAACAAGACGTGCAAACATCAAACATCCACTTTAATTAGTGTTGTGTATGGAGACATACAACTGTTAAACATGAAGTCAGGCAAAGTATAACTGGATTATCTCATAACAAATGAGATTCCAAACATTTTTTTTCTTAGACAATATTAACATTGTGAATTCATTTATTTGCATTTTTAGTTTGTAGAAGGAAAATAATAGTCCTCACATTTATGCATCATATCTTTCCTATTAATCAAGATATTTTCATTAGATCAATTTCATGTGTTCAATTTCAGCGACAAGTACACCTATAAAAAAAGTAAATCGMAAGTTTTTATCATGAAGTCAAGTCTTATAAGAAGTTTAAAAAATGTATTTACTTTTCTAACTTTTTAAGTAGCTATAATGTATATGAAAGAAAAATTTTTTAAACCTATGTGAGTTTCTCTCAAGAACATTAAATTATACAAAACTACCTAAAGTTGTTTTGCTATTCTAGGACATAAAAGTAATATGAAACTGTAACAAGCAAATGAATCATCATGAGAGGAATTCATTTTAAAGTTTCCTGGTCAAATATGCTATATTAATATATAGTTTTATAAATAATAAACCCTTTTGAATGTTTTTAATCCAAAAGGGAAACAAAAAGTTACACAAATATTTTTAGCAAATTCTAACTACATATCTGCCTTCTTTATTTGTTTCACAAAATTTCAGGCTGGGAAGCAAAAGATATGGATAACCTAAAATAACATTTACAGAAAAAGTTTTACATTCCTACAACACAGAATTTTTCAATGAATATAGAAAGTACTTTTAAAATATTCACATATTTATTTCTTAAGGAGTGTTTTAATAGGACATTTCAGAGAGTATCAGATGTGAAAGTTCAGGCTTTTTAATCATCCTAAAGGATAATTAATAAAATTTCCAAATTCAATATCTAATATTCATTTGACATTTAGAAAATGATCCACAAAGCCTTTTTAAGAAACTGTTTGAAAGGCAAACATATTTATGGGATTACAAATAACAAAAATCTACATTCCAAAAGTAGTTTTAGTTGCCTTAGTAATATCACTATCATAACACTGTACTTACCAACTTCCTTGACTTACCAAGTTTAAACAAAAGCACACCCAAAGGTCCTCTGTCAAACCTGAGGAAGAGAAGATCATAGATGTGTCTATTTTCAGGCTTCTGAGAAACAACCAGAGGAGCTATCCACTGCATTTGAACAAGACTGCTGGAAACATCAAAGAACTTATTGAATTGCAGAGTCTCCCTTGGTAAGCAGTCTTCAGCCAAGAGCTGGATGTTAATAGGGGATAGAGCCATATCAAAAATTTGCAGCTCCCCTTGGTTGCTGCCAACTAGCAGAATGGCACCACTTGGGTGGCAGCTTATTAATGAAGGCAAAAGTTCAGCCTGGGCCAAGAGAGTCACTCTACGGTGAGTTTCATAAAGAACTACTGAAGAATCTTCACAGCCCAGAATCAATTTGTCTTCAGTAACACTCCTGCAGCAGCTGATGGCCTTCGATCTTAATGGTATTCTGGTGACTGACATACAATGGATTTTGTTCCGAACACATTCATAGATGCAGCTGTCAGCCATGGGCTCTTTGTCTACACTGACGGATTGCTCCACTGTAAACACCTGATAAGGCTGTTTGGTGCCAAAGCGAACATCCAGTGGATCCCATTCTGTACGAACAGAACTCAGAACCTGTAAGAAATGCAGCAAGAACATCAGACGGTCAGTTGATGTCACTTAAAGGCCACCAATATTAACCCAGAAACCCAATAAAGACCATCAATTTCCACTGTAACCATCAGCTTGACATATGCAACACATATACACCCAAAATAGAGTACACGAATAAGAATTAAGCTATTAAGATTTTAACTTTAATTTTGGGAAATCTATAAGTACTTAAAGTTAAAAATGTCCCACAACATATAAAAACAAACAAATTAGGCTATTAGAAAAATAATATGGCTTGCAGAATATCTTTAAAAGTTAGAAGTTAAGTCAGGTATGGTGATGCACACCTACAATCCCAGCTACTTGGGAAAGGGAGACAGGAAGATCAAGGCCAGCTGGGCAGTTTAGCAAGATGCTGTCTCAATTAAAAAATAAAAAGAGCTGGTGGTGTAGCTCAGTAGTACACTACCCGGGAATTCAATACCCAGTATTGAAGAAAGAAGAAGGAGGGGGAGAACGAAGAGGAAAAGAATAAATAAAGGACTTTAAAGAATTAGTTATGTTCCACCTCCATCCTTCCTATATCTGGAATGATCAATAAGTTATTTACCAGAAATATATTTCTAATTAGTAGGGCTGGGTAGGCAAAGGGGAAAAATTTAGAATTCTATTAACAGTCTCATAGAATTATTTTGCTACCCCAAAAACTATTGCTGGGTCTGGGGTTGTGGCTCAGTGGTAGAGCGCTTGCCTAGCAAGAATGAGGCACTGGGTTCAGTTTTCTGCACCCCATATAAATAAATGAATAAAATAAAGGTCCAGTAGAAAAACGATCAATAAATAGTAAATAATACTGGTGAAGTAAAATTTTAAAGTCATCTTTAGTACAGAAAGGAAAGGTTACCTGCCTATAAGAAACATCAATGTAAAACAAACAAATAAAAAAATCGGTCATTTATTTTATTAATATATAAATGACAGGTGGTCAAGAGCCAGGAGAATAGTATTAAAGAGGATATTTTTAATACTTTGTTAAAAAATTCAAAATCAGATATAGAAAATTAAATAACATGTGGGATAAAATATTATAGAACTGCTCACCATCAAAAAAGTACATTTAAAATATGATTAAATTTGGCTGAGGTCTGTCCCTCAGTTAATAGTAATGCATGAATGTCATTTGCCTATATGTCACAATGTATATTGCAGGATACAATCATTTGGGGGGGAAAGCAGACAAAGAGAATTCATTGTACAATTATAGTAATTTATTATGAGTCAAAAAAATTAAAAATGGAAAGTTAACTATCTTACAGAGTGTTGAATTGGGGAGGGGAATGGGAGCTGAAATGACTTTTTAAAAAATCTATTTTGCACATCATCAGCAACTTAATTTTTTTAATATTTATTTTTTAGTTGTAGTTAGACACAATACCTTCACTTTATTTATTTTTATATGGTGCTGAGGATCAAACCCAGGATCTTGCACATACATGTGAGGCAAGCACTCTACCACTGAACCACAACCCCAAGCCCAGCAACTTAATATTCTTAAAATAAATGCTTTTGTTTTCACTCCCCTGTCCTACCTTTCAATGAAAACCCCCTAATAAATTAAATGTGTATTCCCTTGCCTAGAATGCAACTCCTGTGGGCTCCATATCCATATCCATATCCATTTCCTGCACTCATTTTCTCTTTTGTCCGATAAATATTTGTTCAAATAAATATTTGTACCAGGGACTGGTCCTAGGGATATAGCAGTGAGTAAGTGTTTCCCTCAGCGAGYACACACACTTAAATGGGAGAAAAAGTAGTATCTCTTCCTAACCTTTGGGAGGTTCATTACTGATATCTCTATAATACAAGACAAATTATCAAGAGGGGGCAAAACTAAATTATTTAACCAGTTTTAGGTGACACAGGAAACTTCACATATGATGACCCAGGAAAAACTAAATTTTATGCTTACAGTTGATGAAAATGAACAGTGGTATAGAAAAATGATTGGATAAAAAGCAGATATGGCCTATGGTAATATACTGAAGGGAACTTTGCAAGGACCATTTGTTCTGATTTTTCTTTGTGTCTCTAGGTCTTCATTCCTTTAAGAGGGTAGGACAAATGTCACAGGAGGGTCTTGTACCCTAGTTTCAAGGGAGGTAGATCAAAGAATTCTTTTTATGACTGGGGAAGAAAGATAGGAGAAGGTCAAAGAAAGAAAAGGCCACAAAAATCTTTGCTGCTTTCTACTGTTTTTTTTTTTTTTCAATTTCCTTCAGCTTAAAATAGTCAGGGGGCTAAAGTGCCATATTTGGGGATAGCATTTCTGTTTCCCATTCACACTATAATAGTGAGAGAGAAGGCAATAATTAACAAGTAAGCACATTYCAATACCTTGTATATGTACTTCCTAAGTATTATGAAGTTAAATACAGCAAAAAGGTGTGGGGGGCAGCAGAAGTAGGGAAAGGGGGCATGATACAGAGAAGTCAGTGTAGGTCTTCCCAATAAATATGACCTCAAAGGGGTGAACCATTTCTCTAAGAGAAGAGAGCTCCAGGCAGAGGAAACAGATTCTAAGTAGAAGCTCTAAAACCCTTACCCAATATGGCTAGAGAATGGGAAGAAAGGAAGAGAATAGTGGAAATGGAATTTGAGGGGTGGGGAAAACATGGTGTAGTAGCTTGTAGACCAGCAGGGCATTCAAGGTTCCCTTCCAACTCACTTTTTCCTACCAACTCACTTATTATTCCTACCAAGCATACTTACCCTTAAAGACATAAAAGTATACCAGTTTTCTGGATTCCTCACAGATTTGTGGCATCTCTCCTTCCTTTAATCCCCCTTCAAATCCCTTGCCCAGCCCCAACTTAACCAATGCCTTTCTTGTGACATTTAGCCTTCTATTTGCTTCTTCTTTTTTTAAAATATTTTTTTAGTTGTTGATAGACCTTTATTTTATTTATTTATATGTGGTGCTGAGAATCAAACCCAGTGCCTCACACATGCCAGACAAGTATACTGCTGCTGAGCCCCAGCCCTGGCCCTCTATTTGCTTCTGATGTTTAGTCATACATCATCATTTTTCAGTGTCAGCTTAAAAGAATAAACTATCTTGTGTATTTTATACTTTTCTGTATTGTGTAGCAGCAAGTCAAAAACTGTTGGTAGAATATAATAAGCTTTTAAAAACTATGAACTTAAGTAAAATTCTGTAATGGTGGTTGAAATATACTTCCAAAAGCTTTAAGTTTTATAAAAGAACCCTCAGGGTATATTGAGTATTTAAACTGAAGGAAATCAAGAAAATCGAGAAGCCAGAGAATATTGAGTAGAGTCTGTTCTCACAAAGGGACAATCTAAATGGAGAGGCCCAGCTAGTTGGCATCTTAGCCAAGAACAAGTTAGGCTCAAGGTTCAGGGAGAAGGTTCCTAGGCTTCCTTGTTTCCAAATGTTTGTGAGATCCTCTCTAATGCTTCAGTAGTTTCACAAGGAAAAAGGGAAAAGGGGAGACAGACCATGGGCTGTTACATATACCCCTCTTTCCGATACTATCAATCCCAGATTACTCTAAAAAGGTAACCAAGGTCAGAGGATGGTTTGATGTCTTCCTAAATGTCTGTATGACTTTGATTAGATGATATTCATTTAAGGGAGGAAAATGTCTTGCATGGTATAATTAAAAAATATATCAGGGGTTGGGGTTATAGTAGGGCATTTGACTAGCATATCAAAATCATGGGTTCCATTCTAGCATAGAAAAAAAAAAGATACCATAAAAGTTTAAAGATTAAAAAGTACTTGAAACACAAGTTTCAGAAAAGAGTAACTCAGTAGCCCCACCTATAATAATAAGAAAAGAAGGTGCTGTACTTATTTAATCTTTTCAATACCTCAAAATTAGGTATTATAATCTATATTCTAGAGATAATAAGGGTTAGAGAGATAACTATAAGTTGTTCTTGGTCTCAAAGTTAATAAATGATATACTTACAGTTTAAATCTGATTCTAAAACACCCAGGTCTCTGCAGGTTTTTCAGGCTAGCAAGTACAGGTAATTTATAGGTTTACATGACTGAATCAGCTTTTCTTCCATATGATCAGAGAGAAAGAATGAGACTTTCAGGGCATTCAGAAATCTAAAAGTGGTGGAGGGATCTMCACATAGGAAAGAAGAATGAGAAAAAGGGGAAGGGACCCAAGAGGCAGATGATGCAAATGACAATGGAGCCTATTAATTTGGGGGCAGTAAAGAAGCTTGTGCTGAACTATTTTTGCCTGGATAGTGAACACTAAAAGACAACTATGCTTTGTATAACCGAGGAAGTTTGGAAAAAGGGTCTTAATAAGCTAACTTCTTTTAGAGATCCTTCATTCTTGGATTTATTGCGTTATACTGAAAATAAAGGGTGTGCTCCACAAATGTAAATGTAAAACTGTCCCTAAAATGGACCAGATAAAACTAAATTATCTCCTCAAAACAAAAATTTTACAAATATAAAAAATATTGCTAATTTGATATCAGTTTCTGCTATGATTTTGCATGTAATGTTTTGAAGGTTGTATTGTGCCTGGAATGAACAAGGTCAAGTTTATATGGCTGTTATTATAATGATATGATATTAGCACCGATATCCAAAATACCTGTATGTTTAAAGTATTTTGTATACCTGGGTTCAGAATTTAATTCTAAATTGGACCTGACTCTTGTAACTGCCACAAACAACACTGCACAGTAGAAGCACATTAACAGGGCCTGAATGTTGTCTTGACAATAAAGACCTCTGAGCTTTTTGAGTTATAACTAATATGCAGGTCTGGAAACAGAGTACCCTCAATAATTACTAAACATTATTGTTGCTCCTAAAGAGAAAACACTGAATTCTTTGGCAAGGATAGCAGATAACAGGAAGAATGAAGGACACTGATACTAAATAAAATCCATATTTGGTTACTGAGAATTTATGGATGATACTTTCATAAGCGCCAACTAAAAATGTGGGAGATAATTTTAAA